ACCTCCATCCTCTTAATAACGGACAAAATTACGGTGACCGAGTGACCGGTATTTAGAGGTTCCACTGTATCTTAATAATAATAGAGTTTAATATACAMTGTATAGTGGCGTATWTAGAATTTGTCAAGGGAGTGATCTAGATAATTGTCRCAWAACCGAGGAATGGACTGCAATGACACCTTACACACATCAATTAGTAAAGACACATCATAATAGGAGTTTATTACAATGCATGATAATATAACCTATATGAATAATTCTGAATAATATGTTAAAGTAAGGATTAGTCATTAAATAGATCATGTCAGATCTGATGTTTAGGCAACTTCTGATGTTACCACAAATAGTGGGAAAGAATAGTCCTGAGATCAAGGAGTCACGGTGGTTAAGGAGATTAGAACGCATGCAATTGTATAAAATATTASGGACGGTTTTTAACATTTGGATACATGGATCTCTATGGAGAGAATCATTTATTAAGTAGTATAGGGCTTTAGTTATTCGGGGAAGGGTGGAAGGCATTTGGATTTTATTGCCATTGGTAGGTTTAGCAGCTCTTATAACTGAATGTCATAGGTCTATATTGGTTTGAGGAGTAATTTGTGTAACAGAAATTTATTTTTGCTACAGGATGAGGTTTGAGGCAGTTATGGGATTTGAATGCCTTATGCACAGTACACACTTAAAAATAAAATAAAATACATAATCAATATCAGACATAAATACTCACATTTATTAGTTAATTACAAGATAATTAATGCTCATTCAAGTCAATGGTTACACATTAACGGAGGACATGAAACATACAATAAAAAAATGAAATATAAATATATGTATATATATATATATATATATTATATATTACGTTTTTTTTTTAACAATACTACTATATTATTGAATAAATAATTTAAAAAAAATCAGGCTTTTCAAAGGAATAATAAGAAAAAATCACACATGATTTTTTTATGTTAGTAGCTGAGAAGATCACAAAATATAGATATAATTTTAAATGTCTTCATTGATTTTAGTTAATTTACAAATCATTAATAAGTTGTGTGGAATTTAATTCTAATTTAATATACCGAATATAATATGATTTCCACTAATGTAGAAATAAATGTTTAGACATATGGATATGATAAAACTTATTGAATATAGTTTGATATTGTACAATTTATTATAGTTATAATTATTATTTATAGTTAAAAATAGCTGAGGAAAAATAATAGTAGTTCCTCATTTGTAAGATCTATACAGTCTACGTCATAATCTGATGTTTATCTGTCACACAATGACTAGTTTAACATTATATTGCCACAAAAAAAAAAAAATAATAATAAAAAAATATAGTGTATTTAACAATTTCTGAGTTCAAAAATTATGTTCAGATTTAGACTGAACATTATTCTTAAAGACTAATCGCAATAAATCTATATTTTTCTTATTTGTATCGGTTAAATATTTACAAGGAATTTTAGAAGGCAAATTAGAACATAAGAATGTATCTATGAGCTATTATCTAGTCTTTAAATAACAAATTTCAAACTACTTTATAACTTAACTGGGAATAAAAAAATTTTATTTACTAAACATAAAAATAATAATTGATCACAATGAATAAATAAGGCAGTATTATGAAGGAATGATGTTCTTTTTTTTTGAGCCCGATGGCAAAGTAAAATTGTTTTATTTTAATTGTAATATATATTTGTRTTTAACAAAAAAAATCTTATTTTAATGACAAAGAGAGCAATCAACTAGATTAATACATTTGGAATCAATGTTCAAGTCAACTAAGTATTTTTAATTTTACATCAAAGAAAAATAGGGTCACAACTCTTCAATCGTAGTCAGTTCTCAATTTAAAAGGTTATTATGTAATGGATTAAGTTTTGTATAGTTGATGAGTTTATGA